TGCTTCGGGTTTCTTCGGTATTCGTCGGAGTGACTCGGCCGTAGAGGATCTTATCTTCGAATCTGAGTCCGCGTATGCGCAACCCCTGAAATTAAATATTTTATAAACGGGTCCGCCTATCTGGATTATTAATATCCATTTTGCAATATATAAAAATGATACAAACGTTAATCACAAACACGGCTCTATAAGATCTTTTCATATAACAATATAAAAAGCGCAAGAATTTCAAAATAATTTACCTAACAAGAAATAATATGACGAAGTTAAAAAACTATGCTTATTTTCGGGTCGACGAAACGATTTTAGATAAATAGTACATAAATATGAATACATATCCGATTTTATTGCCGTCGTTGCGACACAAATGAATTATGTGTAACAGAAGCTAAAGTTTAAATAAACAAGTTACAAGAAGAAAAAGTTTGTAATGCAATCGAATAATAATTGGGAAAATTTGTAGGAAAAGAAACATTTCTATGAAAAGAAGTGGTATAAGTAACAGCTATACCAAATAAACAGATCGAACTTATGTAACCAAAAATTCTTATTCATTAGTAAAGTCGATATTTGTGATACTTTTAAAATAGAGACAATAAAACATAATAAATATGAAAGTTTCAAAAAATGTTTGTAACAATCACTTGCTTAAACAGCTAGATAGATTTCAATGAATTTTAGTACCTAAAGGAACCATAATCCAGATTATTATTTATGCTAATTCACATGAAAAAAAAACAGGGATACAATTAGCATATGCATAAAATGGAAACACTTTCTTCAATTAGCGACACGAATGTCGCTACTGTAAATTTAAAGTAATACAATCCACCGTAGCTACACTTTGCTTATTTACCCCGTTAGCAAACGGTGCCTTATTGCTCAATTTGTATTGCGACTAGATTTTATCCGTTTTACGTTACAGCTGCACGCACTAACAACTATGCTTCATGTCGTTCGTTTACTTCTATGTCTACGAGTCATATAAACGTTATTCGTACGTTGATCTGTGAAGCTACATCTTGCGTTTACTGGTTAATGATATAATCATCAATTGCAAGACCTTGGTGACACAAACCACGAAGTTATGTTCCTTCATTATTTTTAAGCGATTTCCAAGTGAAATTTTTTTCAATTGTTCTGATTTTTTATATGTATTATGTTGTGCGACTACATTGCCAATCCTGAACCAATTCTATTTCCGTGTTGGTTCAATTTTAATTTTTTGATAAACTGCTTGATTCGAAGCAAAATCTATATGCAAACACTTGATTTCACGTACTACATTCAAACTTTTACATGTACTATGAAATATGTGTAAGAATATCTCTACGTAGTGTGTAGGTTTAAGATTAAAATAACTTTTTAACGAGCAATACATACTTGTTTGAACTTCTGCAAATATACCAATTTTGGAAACTATCTAAAAAAACATAATTTAGTATTTACTGATTTCCAGTTGGCAAATGAAAATAATTAGTCATTATAAAACGATATATCCTATTTAAACGATGCTACTCTACTCTCTACTGGAAGATCATTTATAGTCATCTATCTTCATTGAACTATTTAATATTATTAAAGATTACAGAGCGGATGATTTAACAATTATTATAAGTTTGTACTAAATAATATAAAATATATTATTATACCTATTAAAAGATGTAGTAATAGGATCAAACAAATTCTCATCTAACTTCGTCTTGGCCTTATCCTATATCTATATGTGTGGTCAACGTAATATTTCCTTTTCCATTCATCTTTATTGCATTCGTCTCAATATTCATATCCTTACTTGACAAATCACCTTTAACATAGTTCATACATCAATTTTAAGTCTCTTTCTATGCAACCATACATCACAACCCATTAATCGCTGAATATGGATCCATCCTGTTCATAAAAAAATTCCTGCTAGTTTTTACTTACGACTCTGTCGACGTTACCGGGATATATTGATTAACGGTGTAAAGAGTAACCTATGTTGCTGTCTATTCCGAACAGTATGTTAATAGCAAAGTTCATGACAACCGGTTGAGCCCTTAAGATGCTCAATAATCTCAGTTGCATGTTTTATTGGTATCAGTGTAAAATGGCAAGGTACGAAACATTTATTTTATATTTCTATATTTTAGATCATAAGAATGAAAAGGAGAAATGACATCTCTCATGCCCGTAGCACACGACATTTCCCGCGCTTCTAATAAATCTATCCACGCTGCAGGTAAACCATAAAAAACATGATTACTCTAAAACGAACTCATTTGTCTCATAAGGTGGAACCCCATAGTTCCGACGACAAAATAATGTCATAGTGTCCACGCCTAATGAGGCACTCAACTGTCGTGTCAATGACCTCATTACAGACGAATGATGAATGCACTGGGCCGTTAAAATACTTGTCCATTAACATGCCTTGCTCGTTATAATAGAAACTATTTTGTTATCTAAGACATAACTGTAGATGTATTGGTTAAACATACAGAATTAACGATTTATTTTTTTCTATGTATATGTGTATTAATTATAATAAATTTATTACTAGCATTTACCGACGCCTTCGTCGGCATGATTAGGATAAAAAGTAGCTTATGTCCTTTTAATCTCCAATGGTATGTATATACCAAATTTTATTACGTTTAATTGAACTAATAAAGATTTTATTAAAAAAATGAAGAAATAAGAAAAAAAAAAAACAAGCAATAAAGAACACAAAGTAACAACTGCGTTCCAAGAGTGAAACGGTGCTCTTAAGGGAGCGAAGTACGAGATTTTTAATTCGCCTGTATTTTCTTTAAGTGTGTTGATTATGCTATATATTTCTGAATTTATTCTAATAATTCTTTTTAATATCCATTTTGCATATCGTAAATAGTTGGATGCAGGTGGTGCAGAATCGTACTTCGTGGCGAAATATAAGGGACAACCATGTTTAACAATAAAGGATGGATAGATTATAATAATGATGACATTTCTGTAATGTTACCAAATTTCCCATGAACATTCCAACGGGAAAACGTGAGCAAAGCCGCGAGAAGTGAACAGTTATACATGCAAAACAGTGTAATTTTGTATCATCATCGAAATGAATTCTCTCTCCGAACTAGAATCGATGTCATAAATCGCGAAACCCGGGCACAAACGTAAGAGCAATTAATTAAACAGTTAACAGTCGGGTTAATTAAACTGTAATTAATTTTACAACAACTCCAAAATAATGTGTTATTTTGTCGGAAACTAAAGGGTACATTGAAAGTTTCGGAAAGCTCAAAAACTTATGAAATATTAACCTACATTTGAATAACACCAATGTAATACATATTTAGTAATATTTTAAACAGTAACTGTGTCGATTTGATTATTTTTCATGGTAGTGGCAGACCCGATTTTGATGAAATTGGATATTAAACTTAAAACGTGGAATTCCATTCAACTGTTCTTAAAATATATTTATTCTATCAGCTATTTTATTTTACCTCAATTTATATGAATAAATAGAATCTAGACTGACCTAAACGGTTTGATATAGTTTTATTTCACTCCTAAGAGGCTATGCCTTAAAGGTATATCGAACATCCAATCTTGCAGAATCCAGTTGAAGCCAACACTCAGACTCCTGCAATCCTTCTCAGGATACACTGCTGTCTTACATTCTTTGGGCCATTGGTTTCATAGGAGTCGGTCGTCAACCACAACCACAACGTCACCAATCGCTATCGATCGTGTTTCTGTTCGAAACCGTTTGCCGCGTCTTGTCAAAGTTGGTAGGTATTCTTTTACATAACATTACCAGGTTAAGTCGGTTAGCCATTGAGAATGTCCTCAGAAACGTCACAGTAAATCACCGTCGTCAAGCGTACTAAAAAAGATGGTCTATGGACGAGAAGTCAAGTTCTCAAGAAGGCGTTCGATGCCAAAGGTAAGTCGTCATCCTACTCTATATGTACAGAAGTCAATAATCAGTTATTTACAAAATGTTTTGTCTCCACTAGAAATGTAAACGGAACTATGCCTATTTCTTTTGCATAGGGGGAAAGGAATTGGGGATTTACCAGCTCTATTACTAACAATCAGGTCGACTTCCTAGTTCCCCCTGGGAACCATCGTGGTTAATTGTTGTGGAATTTATTACGATAGGCTAACTGACCTGCTTTCATTTTCACCTATCATCCCTCACTGGTCTCTGCCAGCATATATCAGTAGCGCAGGCGGTGTTACCATTCCATTAACATCCTACAAAAAATCTCTCTTACACTTACGTACCTATTGTATTAGTACTTAACGTGGACTATTTATTTATCTTCATTTCACAACGCTTGACGACACAGAATCATATCAGAAAGACACTTGAAACGTAAAATATGCCTACAATTTAGGTAACATTCGAGTACTTCAAATAATCATATCATTAAGTTAACAGCACTCAAGCGTATTACATTAATTTACAAAATACAGTTTAATACTATGCTTTATTTAGAAGGTATATAAAACAAAAATATATTTATTTGTAAATAAACCTGATAATTGTAACAAAAATAATATTAAAATATCCTTACAGCAGATACGTCCAAAACATGGCATCACCTGCCACACCCCATTCTAGGAGGAAAGGGAATTGTTAATAATGAGGTTGAGAAGCTTCCTTGCTAGCAAATATTCCCTGTCAGGTCAAACTCCACGCGGTTCTTCTTGGAAAGCGTTGAACTTGTCAAGATGAGATCAAGCAAACAAGCTTTTCCACCTGATGAAAAGTGGTAACCGACGCCTATCGACATGAGCATGGACATAACATGATACCCCCCATGCGTTGCCATTCCTGAGGACTCAGGTGTTATTCCTCTGTACCCTGTAAATTCACGCCATATCCCACCCTTCAAACAGATTTACCCTAAATTACCCCGCCAGCGTATACCTAAAGGACAGGCGAAGCTAAAATTACATTTTCACTCGATAAAAAAAAAAAAACTTTGTTCTATCTAATGATTAATTGAAACAAAATCAAAGCGAGCGAAACTTTTTAATCACAGAAAAATTACATATTTGGAACCGAATATATAAATACCATGTATAATACTACCCTAAAAATTTCTTAAACTCACGTGGCTATCTATAGTCTTGTTTAAAAGTTAGTATAAAGGCAAGTACATACTAGCGTAGTCGCGGGGCAGCCGGTCTAACGCGATCTTATTGCTGCACGAATATAATAAATCACGTGAGATATCTTCGTCTCATCTTGCAGAGGAATTGTTCCACTAAAAAATCTGCTTGCATATAACATCGTAACTTGCGCTGGCTAGCGAGACGATAAATTTCACTTCTATTTTATCGTTATTGCACTGCGCTGATATGCAGAAAAAGATTTTAATCACAGTGTTGAACTATAAAATGGAAGTAAGATAGATAAGAATATATCGCGATTTTAAAATTTAGCTTAAGCACATGTTTTCGTGCCACTTTCTGTTTAAATTTAAACACTATTACATTGTAGATGGATAGATATGGATTATGCATTTTATATATTTTTTTTTCTATATTTAATTATTTAATAACAAAATATTACTTAATCCAATATAACATTAAAAAATTTAAATTATTTGATAGATTATTTAGTAAGACACTGATTTATACGTGACGAATTTTGGTACTTTTGTCAACATGCAATACATTATCAATGACTCTGTGCATAGCTAAAATGATAATTTTATTAAACTTAATACTTTTTTATTTAGTAATTCAATTAAATAATACGAAGTAGAAAAGCTACACGAACTAAATGTTGACTTAATTATGGTATTGTCTAAATATCTCATTTTACTTGTTACTTATATAATAAAACTGTAAATAGACGATGTCCGTTGTCATCGGGGATATTTAAGGAAAATTAATACCAGTGGTAAGACCAATAGAGTACAAAAATTTTTTTTAGAATTTTTATCTGTTCGTATGTATGTTTGTCAACATCACGTCATTATTACAAAAACTGTTCGGACTGATACCTGCTGCTTATTTTCACCACCGTACAACCCGCAACAAACTGAAGTTCCATCCCAACCATCTGTATGAGTGGCGGTCCTCCACTGTGCGCTTTTCAATGCGCTTTCTTCCACGCACAACCACTATTTAGAATCAACTTCCAGCAGCAGTAATTCCGATACGATACAATATCATAACCTTCAAGGTGATATTCCTTTTTTTAAAAGGCCAGCAGCACACCTGCAATGCCTCTGGTATTGCGAATGATTATGAGCAGCGGTAGTCACTTACCATCAGGTGAGCCGCATGCTCGTTTGTCACGTATAAAAAAAAAGAAAAAACTATTGCACCATATTGGATGAGGTTTTTACAGTTGTATTTTTGAAGGTCAAACTTAAAAACTGATGTATATCTTGATACGTTATCTAGAAGTGATATACTTCACTGGTTTTTGTACATCTGATAATACGAGAATTAACAAAAAAATTATTTGCGATTATTTCATATATCATATTTTTATTTCTGTATTCACTTTTTTTTATACAACTTAGAATAGCAAACAAGCTGACGGCCCACCTGATGGAAAGTGGTAACCGTCGCCTATAGACATGAGCAGTACCATGGACATAACAGAGTATACTGTTTCGCCCATAATACCCCCATGCGTTGCCATTCTTGAGGACTCAGATGTTATTCCTCTGTACCCACTAAATTCACGCCTTATCCCACCCTTCAAACCGAAACACAGCCATGCAAACACAACTACTTCACGGTTAAAACACGAATGGGACAGAGATACCCAAGCAATCGATTCTTATTATTATTACTAATTATTCTTCTATAAAACATATAACACTTTTATCCATCAGAGTCATAATTTCCTTGGTTTAAAAATTACGATGTTAAAAAGAACAATCGATTGAGTCACTTCGACAGTTAGCCGATCGTTTATGCGCGCTCGCTGAAACCTGAAGCGCTACTAAATCGGGAGTAATCTACAATTGACAAGTTGCACTAAACCCGCAGTATTGGCTACTAAATCGAGATTTCAGCTGTAAAGCGTTTTGTACGCTGAAAAATGCATTACGCTCACGAACAAAGCACGTGTACTTTGTTCGAATCGTATTCTAGACGGGAATTCGCGCTGCTTGTTCACAAGTGTGAACACACCTTAATTGTGATTTATAGATTTTAATATTTACACAGAATAAAAATATAATAAAAAAAAACTTGTAACACAGTTTTCATCCCTTTTTTCTCTCTCTTCTTTTCTTTTACTTTTTATTTGTACTTTTTGCTTCAATCGTAATTACTTATCTGCCTAATTTTTTTATCTGCTGTTCTAATTTATTATCATTAGAATTATAGTTGTATATTGTATGTATGTATTTGTGTAGGTATATATTTATATATACCTGCAAAATGTATTAGTAACAACATTTTAGTAGTAAACGCACCGCTAACTTAATTTTCTGCTTGCCTCATGGTTGACTGGTAGAGAACGCCATTAGGTATTAAGTCTGCTATATGTACACTTACTTATATAATTGTGCATTGAAGTAAAAAATAAATAGATAAGATACTTTTAGAAACAAATAAAATATTAAAAGTAGTACTAGGGTGTTAATTTTTAAGGATTTGAAAAAGGACTTCTCAATTCACTGGTATTATTATTTTTGTGTATGTTACGCGATATCTTGGCTAAATATAAACTAATCCGGGTATTTCTTTTTTATTTTTTTTTATGACAGAATGGCAAATAAGCTGATACCCTTCTGATGAAAAATGATAACCGTCGCCTTTAGACATGAATTACACCATGGGCATTGGCGAATACGCTTTCTGCATTCGATAGGGTATACTCCAGTGTTGCATTTCGTTACGATTGACGTCACTATTTTGCTATATTATTTCGAATGGAACTTAAATGTTTTTTGCATAACATTCTAACGGTTGAGCAGATATTCGACATTAAATTGAACTGGTAGATAGATAAATAAATACATAGATATATAATTTATTTGCATGCGCAAATAACAACAGATATAGATACGATAAAAGAAAAAATACATATAATGTATATATATCGTAATATCAAATAAGACTGTACACACTCGTATGCGATTCAAAAGATTCTATAACCAAGACTACAAAAATTGCAATTTCAATTTATTAAAGTTGAATATTCTTAAAGTAAACTTATCATGAACAGTACAGGACGGAACCCTCGAAGCAATAAAGATAAAGACACGGCAAACTGAACAAACAATGCGGGGCGCGAACGGGCCGCAACTCCCGGCGGAGCGATGCTCATGTCCACGCGTATTGCACTGTAATAAAGTAAAGAATGTTGGCATTCTCACACAGTGTTGCCAGATTGGGGATTTTTTGCAATTTTGGGTAAATATATTAGTAATGGAGAATTTTTTTTTTTCAAAAATAACAAAGAAATTTGTATTCTACCTGGTAGTAGATAATAAATTAAAATATATTTTCTAATTTATTTTAACTAAAAGAAGAAAAATAAAAGATTTACTGTACCTATATTAAATTATAAACTCAATTGTGGATTGTCCCCAACTTTTAGAACTAATTAATATTAATACGAATGACCGAATTCGTCTTAAACGGACTTTTACTGTGCCTTTTTATAGAAATAATATTTCTTTAAATAACCCTATAGCCAATATGTGTAGATTATATAATAACGCTCATCAAATTGACCTTGACATATTTGGACTCAGTTATTATCAATTTCGCAGACAATTATATAAAATAATGTAATATTTAGAAATTTCTTAAATAATTTTGTTTTGTTTTTTATTTAACTTTGTTTATGTTTATTTTTATGTTTAAATTTTTCACTAATAGTTGCAACCTAATGGCTTTGTTGCAGTCGCATTTACTATTGGATCATGCAGTGTGCATATGTTGTGGCAAGTTTACCTGATCAATACATTATGTACTTGCATATTATAATTTAAGTTTGTATTTGTAAACTTCTGTTATGTGCGCCTAATAAATAAAATAAAATAAAATAATTCAAAGGAACTTATTCTTAAAACAATGCTATTGTATTGGCTATTGTAATAATTAATTGATTGAAGAAATAACAATATTGTAGAAAATAAAAAAAGTTAAGAAAAATGTTCGTTACAAGAATCACAATAGAATTATTTTTAGACAAAAAAATTGTTTTTATTTTTCAGCTGACAAAGTTTTTTAGTATTGACCATAAAAAAAGTACTTTTTTTTATCTCGAATGAATTATTAGTATTTTTTTAATGCGCTTCATCGAGGCAACGTGACTTGATAATGGCAACTTCTCTAAATAGTTATGCTTATTTTCTACGCAAAATATCTATCAGCTTTATCTATAAACTTAAAATTTAAATCTAACCATTTGGCATCAACCATCATTATCATTACCATCCTACTAACGATATGGTCATATACAAATTAGAATCGAATTATTGACATTTGATATTTTTTTTTATACAACTTAGAATGGTAAACAAGCTGGCGGCACACCTGATGGAAAGTGGTAACCGTCGCCTATAGACATGAGCAGTACCATGGACATAACAGAGTATACTGTTTCGCCCATGATACACCCATGCGTTGCCATCCCTGAGGACTCAGATGTTATTCCTCTGTACCTTGTAAATTTACGCCATATCCCACCCTTCAAACCGAAACACGGCCATGCAAACACAACTGTTTCACGGTAGAAACATGAATGGGACAGAGGTACCCAAGCAATTGACTTTTGTACAAAGTCTCCCTCTGGTAGTAACAAGTAATACGGTAATGGCGCTATTACGAGTAATAGCGCCATGTTTGTTTCTTGCATCGAAAGACGCGAATGTTACAAAATATAATTTTTGAATACACAACCCTCTGTGTTATTTATTATGAATCAAAATAGAAAAATGCACTTCTATTTACACACTGCGGCCGGAGTGCAGACAATAAATATTTTGCTTTTGAATTTTGTTCCATGGAACGCGCTCAGTCGTTTCATAGACTTGTGTTTGCTTGTCCCGTATGATTCCAATTTGTTATGTTTGATATTGGATATATTGCGATAGAGTCAGTGAAACGACTAGAATGTAATGAGAATGGTTGTTGGATAAATAAGAGTATCGAGTAATGGAAATAGTTTAAATAATTCAACTGTCATAGCGTATAAATTGACTGACACTGTTTGTATAGTATCGGAGTACAAATTAATGAATAAATTATAACACCTAGAATGACACTTCAATGTATGATAATTAATTAATAGAGCTTTCGCAACTATATTTGTAATGTAAAAGAGAATTTATTATATACTAAATCCATAATTCCGCATACGACGGGTTTTACAATTTTTATCTGTAAAAAACAAACTAACGTATATGCAAGTTTTTTTTTTTTTATATTTATATTTACACATAAAAATATCCGGGCCGTTGAAAGGAAATTTTCAGTCGGTACTTTAAGTGATATATAGGCGAACATATATGTATGCCTATATAGACGACAGAAAGCTTAAAAATCAATTAAAAAAATTGAGTTACATTAATATTGTTTTTTTTTTTCAAGTCATCATCCACTGTCAAATAAAGAACAGCCTCTACTTGACACTAACTAGATGGCGTAAATAAACAAGTAAGAAAAATACTGTTTAAAAATATATTTTTAAACAGTATTTTTCGTCTATAGACGTATATTTCTATACATATGATAGGGGGTTCTAATCTTAATAATATAATAAAACTGTAACTAGACGATGTTCGTACACGAGAGATACATAAGAAAAAAAATTATATGAGGGATGTCAATAATACTAAAAAGAATAAGACGCTTTAACAATTTTTTGAAATTTTGTCTATCTACCTGTTTCTTTGTTGCGGTATCACGCAAAAAGTACTGCACCAAATTTGATGCGATTTTCGCAGTCGTGTTCTTGAATGTCTAATTTACAACATGTATTATTCTGATACACCATCTGGAAATGTTGTATTTCACTGGTACTTCTACATTTGAATTCCACATATACAATATAGCGGGCTATAAGCTAGGAATACATACGAAAGATGTCGTGGCCACAGCCAGTTGATAATGAATGCATTTTTTCTTGACTATTTGTAAACTCCGTAACCATAGTTGCAAAATTTGCTTAATTCAATAACTACTTAGAAATATCATTTCTAAATAGGTAATTATTGATTGAGTAAAACGATATATTTTTAATATATAAACTTAAACATATATATACAAACTATTGACAAATGAAATTGAGCTCCATTTCCAATTGTATCCGACTGAAAATACGGTGCAGACATAGATTGATTGGTTTACGTGTCGTACCTGAAACAAACAAATAAAATTGCATAAAACAACTATTAATACATGAACGTGAATCTGCTTTTGATAGATTCATGGATTAGTTAGTGAGTGGCGATGGATAAATTGGATGACTTAACTATTTGTAATATATATATAAAATATCGAATTGTAAACTATATATATATATAGTTCACAATTCGATATTTTTTCTTGCATGTATATTAACGTGTGTATTTACACTAAGCAAACTTTAAAAAGCTTTTAAACACAAATTGTGCTCTTATTTATTAAAAAGACCTATTTATAAATTTCATTCCCTTTTTTTTATTTGTCTTTTAAACTTAACCTTGCTGGTTACTCTGGTTGAGTGACAGATTGTTTCATTTGCTTGTCTAATACAATTGTTCGTTATAGTAATATTGTATATATTTATTAATGTATGTATATATTTATTAAACATGTTATATGTATGTTTATATTAGTCTAAATATATGTTTATAATATTTAAATATATTAAGTATTACTTTTTTATTTCTTAATTCAATAATACACCAACTACTTACTTCTCAGTTTGCCCTATTGAGAACATACATAGTTTCACTGTACATTAATTTAATAAATAAATATTATTATTGCAATTAAAAGGATTTACTCCAATGTTGGTTCTACACTAATTTCATTATGATTTTTGTCGTAGATTTTCGTGAAACAATATCTTAAATTATTTATTACTAAGTTTCAAGAAATGTAACAAACAAGTCGGGGAAAAATTCATATCGGAAATCCGTAATTCACCGGTTTCGTATTGCGCCAACCATTGTTTTATGTGCCGTCATTCTTGTAAATCATACAATTCAATGTAATAACCAGTAAGGATAATATAGAAATTGTAATATGAACGATTATTCGTTGTTGTTAGAAAAAATAAATTTTTGTTAAAGTTTTTAGTCGTAGTATTAAACGGAATTGTAAATACACGATATCTGTACATAGCAAATATATAAGAAAATTTAATAGTAGATGCAGATGGCTCAGGACCGTATTTTTATCGCAATCTATGGGGGAGGCCTATTTTCAGCAATAGACATAACGGGTGATATGATGATGATGATGATAGGAAGGTCCTATAATGAGGGCAATAAAAACCAAAACAATATTTTTTTGAATTCTTTTTAGTCTGTCTGTAGATGTTTGTCAGATGTTTGACAGTTAGATAGAAGTCACGTTTTCACAGTTCTAACTCGAAATTTTGCGTTTTCTATCTTGACCGTCTCTATAAGTAGTTTATCACCATATTAATGTTTCTATTAACAGTCCACTGCCGTGCGGAATTTTGCCGTAATTGCCGCGTTTAGTAGACGGTAGATTAGTTTTTAAATCAAAATAACTGATTTGGCTATAATTAGTCAGTTTTTTTTTTTTTGTGGAACAGAATATGTATTTTCGGTAATTTCTCTTGAAATTACAAAAGTAAATAGACATGAAATTATCAAGTGAGGCGACAAGTTCTTATATTTAAAGGGCTGTCATGAAACAATGGGGGAGGGTAAATTTGATTTTAATTGAACAAGCGGAGCCATCAGGCGATTGAATGAAGACAGACGGGCGGGAAATAAAATTAACCGATAACCTTCCTCGCCTAAATTGTCTCGATGAAAAAATGAGATTCACATTGTTTTATCACGTTCCGTGTACATAAATAGGTCGTTAAATAAAGCGCTCGAATGTTATTTATGTGCTTTATGATATTCAAATTTAAGGCATTGTCATAAAGCTTAATATTCCAAATGGTTATGATTTCTCATTGTTATACAAGTACTAATGGCTCTTTCTCGAGACAGGGCTCACACCGAACGTGTTTCCCATTACTCACCTTTCCTGTGGGGATTTTTTTAAATCCGTTCTTAGTTTTCATTTATATTGGATTATTATTACATAAAAATAAGGTTTGTTTAAATTTGAATTAAATTTCGTCATAAAATAATGGAATTTTTAACTATAGAATCGTAGAAATCCTATGCAATCCAATTCGGAAATATTTCTTTATCCTTCTCAATATTCATAGGATAACTATCAAATGAAATTTTATAGTTACAACCTATACGAGTTATACTTATATAACTGTATATGTCAGGTTGTATGTAAGAAATTGCTTTTAGCGGTAAGACTGCCTTTTGTATATGCACATTCTTTATAAATACTTCTTGTACACATGTCTATTGTGCGCAATAAAGACTTCATTATTATTATTATAAATGATTTCCTTGTATTCATTTGAATGGATAACTTCAAACTTCAAAGAAACAAATATAAAAGTATTCCCTGATCAGAAAAAGAGATCAGATTCCGAGTATTTTAACCCATTCTAAAACTGTAACAGGAACAAAAACAAATGCTTTTTTCTTTTATATCCATAGCTTTCGTAATGTCTATTGCCGTGTATAATTTGTCTATTTGGTTAGACACAGATAGGAAATATACCATCCGTTTATTAAAACTTCGTGTATTAATGATTTGATTCTAAGTTAATTCAAACAAAACCAATTTGGACTGTAGATTCTGGTTATATTTCTCGATTCGAGACCTTTAAATATTTATGTCAAAACAATTTTGTGCAAAAGTAACGCGAATTTTATCGTGACGAAATTAATAGTGAATAATATGTATAATTATTTCAGCCACCATCTGCCTACTGCTGAATATAGGTCACTCCCATAGACTGCCATAAGGAACGGTCCTTAGCCACCCGTATCTACTGACTCCCTGCACTGTACTTGAGGTCGTCACTCCATCTAGATTTTGGGACGTCCTGCACTGCGTTTGAGTACACACGTACAGAGTCGCCATTCAAAAACCTTTCTTCTCCATCGATTGTCGGTTCTTCGAATTATGTGACCAGCCCTTTGTCACTTCAGCACGCTTATCCTTCTAAATAATATCTAACTATACTTAAATTTACTGAAGGTGTTCATTTATTAATAACAACTTAGTCCGAAACACAAATACAGAACAGATGATGATTTGAGGTTCTTTTAATTCAGAAACTGCTATCATAACTCTTGATTTCAATTAAATAAAAAACATACTGACGCAACTCCGTGAGTACAGTTAAATAACAGCTCTCGGTGCCAATAAGGCCGTATATCAGTTCGGTACACGCATTGCTTTCGCATTACTACAAACATCCTGTACATGCATACTCGTTAAATTTGGACACAGTGCCCCGATTCCGTCATTTGCATTATTGGAAATCCGAAATTCAACACGTAAACTGGCCTGTTGTAGACATTTATAGTTTTGGTTCACTTACGTGCCAACTCGCCATGTTTAATGTAAATATTTTTAGCTAGACTCCACGCCTGCCTTATACAGAATAGCGGTGAAATTAATGTTATTTTTTAACCGAATTTAAAAAAGAAGGACAAGATATCGACAACTAATTGTGAACAGATTTAGATTTAATTTCCTGTTATGATACTTTTATTGTGCCCGCGACTTCGTCCGCATAACTGGTATCAAATGTAGCATATATATATATCCTTTTACATATCAAGTATGTACTACGCGTATTTACTACACGTATGCTAAATATTCGCCGTGTGGTCCCCGCATAGAATAGGCCACTTATTTTACAACAAAGGGCGCAAATGAGCATACGGCTTACCTGATGGTAAATGACTACAGCCGCCCATGATCACCCACAACACCAACGCCGTTGCAGGTGTACTGCCGACCTTTTAAAAAGAAATATGCTCTTTTTTTTAAGGTTATGACGTCGTATCAGTTAAGAAATACTGCTGCTGGTAGTTGATTCCAGAGTGGTTGTGCGTGGAAGAAAAGGTCTTAAAAAACACGCGGTGGAAGATCGCCAATCTTCCAGATGGTTGGGATGAAATTTTAGTTTATGGCGGTTTGTACGGTGGTGAAAATCAGCAGCAGGTATTAATCCAAACAATTCCTCAGAGCACTCCCCATAATAAATTCGGTAGAAGATGCACAGAGATGCAACGTCTCTGCGCAGTTTCAGTGGGTCGAGTCGGACAGGGCGCTGACTATCAATAATTTGAGCCGCCCGACTTTGAATGCGGTCTAACGGAAAGAGCTGGTACTGTGGTTCTCCTGCCCACCTCTACCATTCCCATGAGTGTCGTAAGAGGATGTGCAGCAGCGTTCCTCTTTAAACATCTCCAAAGCCTAACTACGGTTGCCAATCTACCTGCTTAGCATGTCAACAGTGGACAGTCAAAGACTGATATGATGAAGCTAAATATTACGAAAATAAGTTGAACTGTTGAGGAGTCAAGAGATTATTATCTCTTATAAATCTACTATAAATAAACAAGACACTCTCTTTCAACTTTATATTATTTGTGGTCTAGTCTAGTCAACTTTTACGACATTGAAACGACGTTAAAAGACGACTATGAAAACGAGTGGTGAAACGTTATTGAATGTATTCCATTATGAAAATGAAAAATGTATAGTATTAATACATTAAAATAAAAGAAACCAAAGTGTACAAATTTACAATCGTAGAATAAAAAACGGCTGACAATTTATTCAGTCAAATTATGTAATCATTTCTATTCAGCCAGTGACGTTTGTACTCAATCGTGGAGATCGTTCTTATAAATTTGGTAAAAATATACCGTCTAGACACCAAGCTTTATATTTACGGTTCGACTTCACTCATATCTTATCTTATGATAACTATCTATCCAACCTTTAAAGTAACGCGATGTAACCGAAAATATATACATAAAAATATATGAATTGGAATAAAACCTAATCTCAGAAAATAACACGTCTAGAAACAGTTATCTATAGTCCTCTATAATTTCAGCCTATACAGTAGTACCTTTGTATAGTGTATAAAATTGTATGTGAATTCACTTTATCCTATTTCTACGAGATCTTTCAGATACGCCGTTTGCGGGATCCCTTAACCCTTCTAAGGACTAGCTGATTATTTAGATCCATGTAAACCTAATCCTTGTTTACCTCGGCTTGCCTACATCTTT